AAAAAATTATAGCTATGTTGATTGCAGTGATTCCAAGAATTACCCATTGCAAACCTAATTGTCTATGGATAAGCAAAGAGATATTCATATCAACTATGTTTTCAAAATCAATTGTTCAATCAATAAAATAACTTAAATATTAAAAAACCTAGTTAGGTCAAACTACCTATTCACATATCAGAATCCCTTACCGGAATATACTGGAAATTGACTACTCACTCAAGGCGAAAGTAAAACTAAAAGAAATTATTAAAGACATGATCACAATCAAAAGAGAAATTGCACTTGAATTGAAATCAACCAAATACCTTGTATTGAGATGAAAACTGTAAAGGGTTACAAGAAATAGAATCAACATACTCTGTTTGCGAGAATTAAAAGACTAAAAAAAGACAATACTTTGTAAATATAAAAGAAGAAAAAACATCAAAGAACTGGTAGAAAGCCAAAAGAAAAAACCCTAGCTGCTAAGGTTGGAGAAAATAAAAGAAAAAAAATGTAAAAGGTAGTAAAAAATCAATCCCATCTCCCTTTCTCAGCTTTGAATTTTATAAGGAACAATTGGCTGAATTTCCTCCTCTTTTTCCACCAATAAAGACCCTTTAAAATCCCCAGCCGATAGAATTTTCAAAGGAGTCCTTGCTGATATAAAACACTAATGAACTGGTAGAAAGCAGGTCCTGATTTACCAATATCAAAGTTACTGTTCAAATCTACCAATAGCAAACTTTTTGTTTTAGATTAATTGGTAGGTTAAACATGAATGAATTGGTAGCAAAGTTACTATTTTGAATGAACTAGTAGTACTTCACAGCTATTGGTAGGTTTGCTATTTGACACTTGATGTAGAAAACCTACTGGTAAGAACTTTTATTTTTTTTTGAAATTGAACTGTAATTCTCCTGGCTTCAAATTTCACTCTCCTAGCTCATTCCCAAAGTCTTCCAAATCATAATAATGAATGCAAAACATTTTTTTTTTTACCTTAACTCACTTGCCAATGCAAAAATTCCTCATAAAACCAAAACTAAACTAAAACAAAGTAACGAGCAATGCTAAAATAAATGATATGAAAAATAAAATATGAAAAATTGTGCACTCAACACTAATCTTCATGGTTTCATGAGGTCATTGTGGTTGAAAGGGGATTCTCAATATTAATTGATTAATCTTTGTGAGAATAGGTAATTGCGATAGTAATAGGTTTAATTTGGTGGTTATCCAAGCATAAAGNACCAAAAGAAAAAACCCTAGCTGCTAAGGTTGGAGAAAATAAAAGAAAAAAAATGTAAAAAGTAGTAAAAAATCAATCCCATCTCCCTTTCTCAGCTTTGAATTTTATAAGGAACAATCGGCTGAATTTCCTCCTCTTTTTCCACCAATAAAGACCCTTTAAAATCCCCAACCGATAGAATTTTCAAAGGAGTCCTTGCTGATATAAAACACTAATGAACCGGTAGAAAGCAAGTCCTGATTTACCAATATCAAAGTTACTGTTCAAATCTACCAATAGCAAACTTTTTGTTTTAGATTAATTGGTAGGTTAAACATGAATGAATTGGTAGCAAAGTTACTATTTTGAATGAACTAGTAGTACTTCACAGCTATTGATAGGTTTGCTATTTGACACTTGATGTAGAAAACCTACTGGTAAGAACTTTTATTTTTTTTTGAAATTGAACTGTAATTCTCCTGGCTTCAAATTTCACTCTCCTAGCTCATTCCCAAAGTCTTCCAAATCATAATAATGAATGCAAAACATTTTTTTTTTTACCTTAACTCACTTGCCAATGCAAAAATTCCTCATAAAACCAAAACTAAACTAAAACAAAGTAACGAGCAATGCTAAAATAAATGATATGAAAAATAAAATATGAAAAATTGTGCACTCAACACTAATCTTCATGGTTTCATGAGGTCATTGTGGTTGAAAGGGGATTCTCAATATTAATTGATTAATCTTTGTGAGAATAGGTAATTGCGATAGTAATAGGTTTAATTTGGTGGTTATCCAAGCATAAAGATTTAAAATATATTCAACCCCCCTCTAGGTAGTATCATGCAATCTGTATATATAATCGTGAGTGAAAATCCACATATATCTCCCCCTCTCGGAACAACAGAGATGATGAGGCTACAGGAGCTGTTTAGGAGACTTAGTATAAGACTATGTGGGAGATTTGATAGTGTTTATTCTTCATGGTCTTGTATTAAAGTACTCTGTTGTCATTTGTTGACTTTTACTTTTTTGTTTATTTTTCTTTGTTGTGACACACTCTTAGTCTTTTGTCTTAATATTTATTATTATTATTGACCTAGATTTCTATGCCATGTTTGTCTTTTGCTTGTTCCATTTTGCTTAACCAAGCTATATGTGCTTTACATGTTATCTCTTTTATACCATAATTATCTATTTTCTTATTATAATTGTGTGTTCGACACTTTGTGACAAAAAGGGGGAGAAGTTTGTAGCAAATTGAGGTGAAAATTGATAAACTAGCTAGTGCATGAGAATAAAGTAAGGGGAGTTTGTTCAAAAACTTAGGGGAAGTATATACACAAACATGACATAAAGTTACTTATTTTCTTTTTTGATTTTTCACTAGAGTACATGCAATGTGTACTATAATGTTTGTGCTCTCCATAAGTGAAACAAAGTAATTGTTTGGCATAGGGTTCCTTAACACCAACCTTCTTTAAATCCTTACCCATACTACCAATTTTAGTTTTAGGAGGACTATTGTTCACTTGTGGGGAGGATTATAAGACCCTGTATTAAAACTAAATAAGTATAGTATTATCTTAAGAGTTCTCCTAAGATGAATAAAATGATGGTAGAAACTTACAATCATTGTTAAAAGATTGATTATAAAGTTTGAGTTTTGTCTATATTTATGTTGAGATAAATTGAGTTTTGGAGATATTTGGATTGAAAAGCGTGGCTAAGTAATTTTGTAAATATTTTAAGGTCAAAATAAGGTTTCTATTGAATCCGGAAAGTCAAAAAACTTTGGGAGAGATAATATGGGGTGTATTAGAAGTTAGGAAGTATTCCAGAGTTAAAACATATTTAGATTTCAAAGATTGTGAATTCCTCTTGGTTAGTGAGAGACAAACCCATTAAGAATGTTGTATTTATTTCAAGAATCGAGATAAATCTTACCATATTGTCATTCCTAAATTTGGTGTTATACCATGATATTAGTGTAGGAAAGTTGAGTAATCCAAATAGCGAAATTGACATGCTTATGGATAAACTACAAGTAAGAAGCAAACATGATTTTTATTGAAAGGATTGGTGAAATTCAAAAGAGAGGTGATATTTGATGAGTAGAAAATGAAGTACTATGATCTATTAGTTATGCATGATAAGAAATTAGTTGAAGTAACCACATACAATTATTGACAATAGAGGTGATAAATGAATTCTAGTGAAGGAATGTAATCTTCGGGACTTTAACTAACTACAATAATGTTATAAGTGAAAGAGATGGATATAAAGTTTAGAATAAGATATTCTATACTGATCTTGGATTTGATGCTTAAGGGACTAATATACGTTGAGAACCTATGGTAAATTATAGTTAGATAGACCAACTCGATAATTACGTTTCGAGGATGAAACTTTCTTCTTGGGGGGTGGATTGTAAGACCCTGTATTAAAATCAAATAAGTATAGTATTATCTTAAGAGTTATCCTAAGATGAATAAAATGATGGTAGAAACTTAGAATTATTGTTAAAAGATTGATTATAAAGTTTGAGTTTTGTGCGTATTTCTATTGAGATAAATTGAGTTTTGGAGATGTTTGGATTGAAAAGCATGGCTAAGTAATTTTGTAAATATTTTGAGGTCAAAATGAGGTTTCTATTGAATCCAGAAGGTCGAAAAACCTTGGGAGAGGTAATATGGAGTGTATTAGAAGTTAGGAAGTATTTCTAAGTTAAAACATATTTTTGAGAGGATTTTGATAGAAAGAAATTTGATACTACCTTAGTATTTTAGCCATATATTTTTACTCATAACTCCAATCTATCTGGTTTTTGGATAGTATAAACTAGACTTTAAGGGCTACAAAAGTGTATTTCACGAAAGGTTTCTGAATCGTCTTTTAAATAAGCCAAAATCGATCTGAAAGTTGAGGGTATACTGTCACCCATATTCGGACGAGAATAGACACGCGTCTGGATGCATTTGGCAAAAAGTTGGGCGAAGAAACACGCATTTGGATAGTAAAAAACACACGTTCAGACGCACTAGATAGAGGGTTTCATGTCCTTGACCTGTTTTGGGTGTTCTTTCCAAATTTTACATTATAAATACCAAAGGACACCTCCCTTAGCCCCATTTAATCAATTCTAACCCCAAAGAGCCTTGGAGAGTAAGAAAAAAGGGGAGAAACATAAGATTGAAGGGGATTTTTACATTGGATCGGATCAAAACCTCTAGTTTTTCACATAACACTAAGGAAGTAAGGTAGGAGTTTTTCCTAATCTTGTCCATTGAGGTTAGGGTTTATATATATGCATGTTTTGACTCTCAATCATAGATATTTGTTATGAAATCCTTGTTTCTTGATGTTCTTGCAAATCATTTCATGTTTTGAATGAAGCTATGGTTTGATAGCTATAAATCCTTGTTTTTTTTATCTCAAAACCCTTGTTTTTCAAGAAATAGAGATTTTTCCTTTGATATTGCATTGTTCTTGATTCAAAAACTCTAGTACTTTATTTGGAATAATAAAAATATATTTTTTGATGATCTCTTATTTATTTTCTTGAGTTGTTATGTTGGNATTGAAGGGTTTGCATCCCCTTTAACAAACACAATATTGGAAGGAGTGGTGGTGGTGTGATCATGAGTGTATCCTAGACCTCTTTTATAACTCACACTCTTCCCTATAAACAATATTTTTTCCTATTGGAAGTCTTTTAGAGAGTTCTTGTGATTCTTGAAGTTGTCTATCAAGTTTTATCAATTTAAACTCTAGACTCTATCTTCTATGACTCAATAAGCCCATGGCACTTTCTTTCCAAAAAGCCCAACTTGTACTTCAATGATTTATCCTCCCCTTCAAGCTCACAAATATGAGGGACTTCATTAGGTCCATATGGAATGCTTTCTTCTTTTACCTCCCATGAATTAAGCTTTGCACTCAATGTTAGTACTATCTTATTTTCTTTGGGGCACTCATCGTACAATTGATCATACCCATCATGAATGTCCTTAACACTTTCTGTGTCATCGTTACTTGAGGTGACCTCAACATCCAAGTCATCTACCACCATGGTAGGACTTGAATCTTCTTTTGTCTCTTTCTCAACTATACCACGTAAAGTTTCTCTTGGAAGGGATGCAAGGCTACCAAAGCTATGAAATTCTCCTTGTCTTCTTGTGAGGAGGTATCCTCACTGGAAGTGGACTTGGTATCACTATTGCTCCATTTAGCATTCATGGTTTTCGTACTCTCTTTGGGTAAATCCTTCCTCTTCCAATTTGGACGTTTCACAGCAAAGTGACCAAATCCTTGGCACTCAAAGCATTGGAGCTCTTGCCCCTTCTTTCTAGCCCTTTATTGAATTTTCCTTCCCCCTTATTCTCTTTATCTTTCTTGGGATGTTTAGGTCTACTCAACTTGCCCTTAGAATAGGAGGACTCAAGACCTCTAGCCTTGACATATTTTCTAGACTTTCTAGCAAAGTAGGCTAGGTCCTCTATTCCCAAATAAGGTGACTCAGAATCATCTCACTCTTTTCGTATTGAGTGTAAGGCAACACCCCTCGATTTCATGCATAGTTAGAGATTCATCCCAAAAGTCTAGATTGTAGGTCTTTTGCGGACACCTCATTCAAGTTGACTCTTGTCTCTAAGGATGTTATCTTAACTTGAAATCTCTCCAGTATAGATCTCAATATTTTCTATTTAATCACTGAGTCTTCTTAGTTGAAATTGAGGGCAAAGAATGAGTTGACTAGATCTCTAAGTTTAGCATAAAAATCACTAAATATTTCATCCTCTTGCATCCTCAAGGTCTCAAATTGTGAAGTTTACTGTTGAAACTGAGACATCTTCACTATGGGTGCATCTTCATGAGAGACTTCTATGATGTCCCACACTTCCTTGGAGTTCTTGCAATCAAAGATCCTCCGAAACTTATTGGGTGTGACGGCATTGAATATCACAATCAAGCCTTTTGAGTTCCACCTGATGGACTCATACTCGATTTAGGTCACTGAATCCTTCGCTAGTCATAACAGTTGGAGAGCTCCAACCCTCTAACACAAACAATCATACTTTGTTCGTCGATTGAACCTATAAACCAAAATTACCTAATTAATTAATTGATTTGTTAATTAATTGCTCTAACCCCCTTTTCCCCAAATAGAACAACCTCTCATGAGTGAATGCATGCAATATTTATAAGACTACAATAAGCAAAACAATCCAATTCAATTCTCTGATCGCTCCAACAAACCAAACACCAATCTACAATCAATTTGATGAATATGCAACAAATGTATATCAGTGAGTCATTCTATCAAACACATAGTATGTGTGTGAAATTTCAAGTGTGTATAAAATTACAACAATAACAATATTATCCACAACACAAGCAATATTACATGTAAACCCTTTCAGGAAAAATTTTGGAACTTATCCTATTTCACCTAGTCTAATCCACTAACTTCAAAGTTGATTATAAGGACACTTGGACGTGCTGACTACAATGAACCATCTAGGTCTCGAGCAATCTTCTAGGATGCATCCAAGATTCTAGTAATGCACCCAACCCATGAGGATTTTTGTAGTTCACCAAACAAGATCTTTTTCTTCAATGTGTGAGGTTGAATAGGAAGGATCAAAAAGGTTTTGACATTTGAATATTAGGGATCTAGGGTTGTTCTTGGCTTTCTAGACATTTATAGGCAACTTTAGAGTGCTTAAGAGAGTTACCCTAGTTTTGAGAGTTTGATCCTATTTATAGGTCCACAATTTGGGTTGTCTTGGGTTCAAAGAAAACCTAAAATTGTGATGGACCACTTGAGCCGTCAGTGAGCAATGAGGGGGCAGTTGGTATTGGAATAAGAAAATGATTTNAGTTACCCTAGTTTTGAGAGTTTGATCCTATTTATAGGTCCACAATTTGGGTTGTCTTGGGTTCAAAGAAAGCCTAAAATTGTGATGGACCACTTGAGCCATCAGTGAGCAATGAGGGGGCAGTTGGTATTGGAATAAGAAAATGATTCAGTCTAGTTGAAAAGAGTAGAGACCACTCAAGTCTTATGTGATCGCTTGAGCAGCCTACAAGTAGCTTAGAGGGCAGTCTCCACTACCCAACACATTAGCCTTCTCCAATTTTTTCCTAAGTGTTCAATGACTGCTCTAGCCAACGGCGAGCAAGTAANCAAGTAGCTTAGAGGGCAGTCTCCACTACCCAACACATTAGCCTTCTCCAATTTTTTTCTAAGTGTTCAATGACTGCTCTAGCCAACGGTGAGCAAGTAGAGGGTGATTCATAAAAATTTTTAAACTAGAAACCAAACAAAAACTAGACCTATTGAGCACTAAGTAGTATTGCTCAAATAGAATCTGATATATGAGTCAATCTATGCTTTTAAAACAATTTTTAATGTTTAGAATTTTTTTTCATGAAAAGCCTAAGAGTAATTTACAGATAATGCTAAATCCAATTCCATTAAACTAATGGTCATAGGTATCTAGGTCATTACATTGTCCTAAGATTTGAAGGTCCAACAAAGGTGTTCTTGATACGACTTTGAAGCTTAAACTCCTTCCTTACTTGATGCTTTCAAAACTTAGGGTGCATTTGGTAACTTTTTTGTTTTTGTGTTTTTAAAAAAAATAAAAAAATGGAAATAATTTTTATTTTTTTTTGTGGAACAAGTACAATCAAGAAATTGAAAATTCAAATCTTGGNAACTTTTTTGTTTTTGTGTTTTTAAAAAAAATAAAAAAATGGAAATAATTTTTATTTCTTTTTGTGGAACAAGTACAATCAAGAAATTGAAAATTCAAATCTTGACTTCTTAGTTTGAGGCACTGAGGATGAAGGAGAAGCAGACCTTCTGTGAATTCTTCCATTTCCCTAGGAAAATATGAGTACACGATCTTACTTTAAAAGATTTTAAGATCTCTACCAGATGGAATTCAAGCTAATTTCAAATGCAATTGCGACTAAACAAGATGTTGAGAGTTTGAGAATAGAAGACTGAATTGAGTCTCTATTGACATTTGAGATGAGTCTTCGACATTCCAAAAAGTTCAAGTTTATTGATTTAAGTTCAATAAAAGAAGACAAAGATTAGTCCAAGTCACCCNCAAATGCAATTGCGACTAAACAAGATGTTGAGAGTTTGAGAATAGAAGACTGAATTGCGTCTCTATTGACATTTGAGATGAGTCTTCGACATTCCAAAAAGTTCAAGTTTATTGATTTAAGTTCAATAAAAGAAGACAAAGATCAATCCAAGTCACCTACCATTGGGAGTGAGGAGCTAGCCATATTTTTGAGGATGTTGAGAAAGTATATGAAGGCTAGAAAAGGTTNACCATTGGGAGTGAGGAGCTAGCCATATTTTTGAGGATGTTGAGAAAGTATATGAAGGCTAGAAAAGGTTGCTCCTCTAGGACTAAGTACTTGTAAATCTAAAGACCCAAAACTCCCAAAGAAGGTAAAGGAGGGAAGAAATTTCTGCAAGGGATAGAGAAAAATGGTCTAGGACTCTAGTTCCATGAGTGTCATGGCTTTGGACGCATAGCATCATAGTGCTTGGACAAGTAGAAGAAGAAACATGTGACCCAAGAGAAGAGGAAGGCATTGAAAGCCAATAGAGTGTCGATGAGTTTGATTTAGTTTTGGATGAGGAGACTTTTTCACAAGAGCATCCAAAACATTTCACGACTTCTATAGCTTTCCTATCTCCCAAAACTTTTATTGGTGTGGATGTGGTTAACCAAGTCCTACCCTAATGGTAGAAGACTTGAAGGAAGAGGAGTCCTCTAGTGAGTATGAGATTAAGAGTCATGGAGACATCCATGGGGTTTATGAAGATTTTTTTATCGAATGTCTGAAGCCAATAAAAAAAAAAAGTAGTCCTTAACACGAGCTTGAAGCACAAAGTGAGTGGGAAATAAAAAGGAACACCTCTTATTGAGTTGGTAAAGTCGAAGGCTAAAGTGTGTGAGCTTAACGAGGAGAATGCATCCTTGATGGACAAGGTGAGTTTTCTTGTGAGGGAGTTCCACAGGATGGTCAAGTCAAAGAAGGTCTTGAAGGATAAATTGGCAAAGCTATGAAAAGACCTTCAAGAGTCAAAGGAACTTTCCAAGAGACTCTCCAAAGAGTCTGAGAAACTAAACAAAATGTTGTCTATAGGGAAAGGTGTAGGTTAGAAGTGACATATAGGCTATACATATAAGACACCACATCTACACCTTCCAAGACTATGTTTGTAAAGCTAAGTGTGATACCTTAATCCCCTCGTGTTAATCAAAAGGTAAAAATGACAATAAGCATAAAACTAGGTCGAACATTAATCATGCACCCATTGCTAAGAAATTGATTTGTTGCTCTTATGGAGAGCACAATCACTAGAGCACATTTACATGTATACTATGGACAACTCAAACAAGAAACTCACACTACCTAGCTAACCAATCTAGAGTTTTGAATGATCAAGTGCACAATCTAACCAAGCCAGTTGGTTTAACTACTGAGCCAAAACCCGTGAATGCATCACTAACTAGAGCCATACAAATTAGGAAGTTCAAAAAATTCTCCACTACTAAGATAAAAATTAATTTGATCACATTTGGTGAAAAGAAAGTTAGTACTCCACCCATAGTCTACCTTTGAGGTTGGAGCATTGGAATGTCAAACATATTTGAGTTAGCAGTGAGGACTATGAGAGACTCAACCCATTCGCAATTTTGGAAGTAAGCAGGACTACGAAGTTAGTTGATAAACCTACGGTTGGGTGAGGTGGGATATGGCCTAGAATCACATTCATGCATAGCATCTCATGTACTAGGTACATGTTTTATTATTTTTATTAGTAAAAACAAAAAAAAAACTGAAAACCCCAAAAAGATTTTCATTTTTTAGAGTTTAAGGTTTTGAGTGGCTTAGGATTTTATTATTGTTGCATTTTGATAGTTTAACACATTAATACATGCATTTTTTATTTTTTTAAAAATATTTTAAAATACACCACAAAAAAAAAGAAAAGGAAAAAGGTGAAAAAAATTTGCCTTTGT